CTTCCCATCATCATCTTCGAGAGGGGCCACTGCCTCCTGCGTCCTGAGACCCTAGGGATAGTGGAACTCAGTCCTTCCTTGTTCTATGACAAGGTCCCTCATTCTGTAACCCTGAGCAGTGGTCTCCCAGCTCAGTCTCCTTTACTGTGGACGAGCTTTGATGACCTTGAATCCTGGAATCTAGGGAGCCCAGGGATTTTACCAGGAGCTCTCTCCTTCTAGATGAGCTCTGGGGTAAGATCCCCTGAGCTTCATTCCTGGATTCATTACTGATCTGCTCTGTGACCTTAAGGAAGTTACTTGGGCTCTCTGAGCCTCGAGGGAGTAGGAGCACAGAATTTCTGCTCAGCCCCTGGTACTTGTTTCCTGGGCCTTTCTTCTTCCCCACCATTCACCACAGCCTCTCCCCTCATCCCCTGACTGAATGGCGAGTGAGTGTCAAGTGTGTTGCAGGGGAGCATGGAGGGGAAATCCATCCACCCCACAGAGCTGGCTGCCATCCTGCCCAGCCCCCACCTCGACTTGGGTGGAGGCTGTGAATTCTGCATATGAAATCTTCCCCTTTTCTAGGGTCAGGCAGGAAGTGAGACCTGTGGCAGCCCCTTGTGGCTTCCTGCCCTCCTCCCACCCTCCTGTTGCCCCATCAGGTAGCAGTGGAGGGGGGCGTGGAGCTGAGATGCAGAGGTGCAGACCTTTCCTCTCCCATGCCTCCTCTCTCAGGACGCCCGCAAGGGCCTCCCCCTGCCACAGTGCTGCTGTCAGCCATCTAGAAGTGCTTCTGTGACATGTGAGCGGAGGCAGCCACGAGGAGAAAATGGAAGGGGCCCTGTCCTAGGCGCAGTTCTGTGCGTCCCCACACTGGCCTCACACAGGCAGATAGATCCCTTCCCATTCCAAACTCCTTGGACACATCTGTGAAGGGGGTTAAGCAGACCTCCCTCCTGGAAGCCAACCCACCTGGTATCTTACGCCTCTTTACAGCTCTGAACTGCTGAGCGAGATTCAGGGATGGAAGGGCCAGGAGAGTTGGTGAGGACAGCAGAGGGAGCTTGGTGAGGCATCCTCTCCAGGGAAACCACATTCTCATGGCGGCAGACTCCTAGGAGGTCTGAGGGGAAAGGAACTGGTCATCAGGTCCAAACCCTCAGCTCCCCATCTTACAGATCGGGGAACTGTGACCCCAAGAGGGGCAGAGCCTGCTAAAGGTCATGGTCAGGGGCAGAGGCTAGAGGCATCTCCACCCTCCTTTCCTTCCTTCCTTCTTTACTCATTTAAGGGAATGGATCAGTATATGGGAAGCACTGACCTGGCACCTGGCAAGTTCTTCCTTAGAGACAGGGAATATTAGTAGTAGTAGCAGTATTAATATAAAGGTGTTTATTGGATGCCCATGTGCCGGGCATAGTGCAGGCATGGGCAGCGGTAGACGGAGCAGAGTGGTGGTGCCTCCTCTCATGGGCGGTTCCCCAACCCAGTGGCGACTCGGGTCTCCCTGTATGTGGTTACCAGCCAACTCCTGGCTCAGACCCCTGTCTCCTGGGTGAGAGGAGTGCAGCAGGGAATGTGGGAGAGCCTGGAGTGGTTCAGTGCCAGCTCACCCACTCCCAATTTCTGGAAAAATGATTCCTTGGCCGTGGCTTCTCCTCAAGAGAAGGGTAAGCACAGGTCCTCTGGACTCTTCCAGAGGCAGGACAATATGCTCCTGGAACCCCGGTCTCACAGCCACGCTGGGGAGCAGTAAGGGCAGAGCGCACCCCCCCAGCATGCTAAGGAGGACATGAAGCCCAGGTGTGGAGGGGACTAACCCCATCCCACGGGGCCTAGGGCTTCCAGCCAGGCTTCTGTCTGTCCAGGGCTCTGCAGACTGGGAGACCCTGGAGAAGCTTCCTGCTCAAAGCCCTTGTGAGGGAGCTGGTGGGAGTGATCTCCCTGGATCTGCTGAGCCCCTCACTCTGCCCAGAGCCCCCCGGGGAGGACTGGGCCCACATGGGAGAGGGCCAGGCTAGGGATGTTGCCCTGGGCACCCAGGCCAGGCCTGGCGGTGAGTAGCCAGCAACAGTGTGGGCCCAGGGGAGAGAGACTGGCCTTTGCTGGGCGGTGAAACAGCGCCAGGCCCAGGCGAAGTACACTGCCGTTGTCACCTCATTTGATCCTCTTCACAAGAGGAAACTGAGGCTCAGCCAGGTGGAGGGGTTTTCTCACTATCCCGCAGCTGGTAAGGGATTAAAAATTGAGGATTATACCCAGGTATGCTGGATTCTAAAGTGGGTGCTTTTTTCCCCATGTCTGGGTGTGCCTGGCAGGCCCTGGCACGGGGGTCTGT